CTTCACTGAATTCATGTGAAATCATAGAAAAGAAAATTTCTTAAAAATTCAATTTTTATTCAATAGAATAACATTTCAAATCTAAATATGAAATGAGTTGACAATAAATTCAAAACATTGAAAATGGGTTTTAAATGCGAAACATTTCAAACAACTAATTCATTTAAATTACGTTATATTGTATATACAGTAAACAATTGGTTTAATTAGAAAACGTCTAAACCATCGAATATTTAAAATTTTAACTATAAATAAAAACTTTGAATTTAAGTTAAACTTAAAAAGTGCCTCAAATCTCAATAAATAATTCAATTATAATAATAAATAGTCGCTAGTATTTGTCAATTATTACATAATATAAGAAATACAAGTATATTAAGTAAACGTTGTTTCGATGTCGACAAACAATTGATCCAATGATTGACTAAACATTTGCTGACCACAAGACACGATCACCATTACTCGTAATGACCACTATTTCATGTGTTCGGGCCAATACTGGATATGATAGCGTTGAGTGGAGCCCTCAAACAGTCTGTCCAACCAATTGGACAGTCCGTCCAACAGGTGCGCCTCAAAGACAATCTCGTCGTCGATATCACCCGTCTGTCGATGTATTAGCGATGGGTTCCCGCACTCGATGTCTGTGTCCGAGTTGTCGGAGTCGTCATCGAAGCCCATGAATGCGCTGGAAGTGCCTTCGCGTGGCTTTCGTTTCTGTTGACAAAAGTATGTCAAATAAAAACCTCTATAAACCTCTAATCAAATGCTAACCTCCGGGTGTTTGGCGTGATATACACAGAAGTATTTCCTAAAGCCGTTCAATGATATAACAGTTCCGATACAGTTCTTGGGGTTAATCTGTAACTCCTTGTGCTCTCCCAGTGTTTGCATCAGTAGTTTTCGATACCAATCGAGGTTTTTCTCCACGAATAAGTAGGCAAACATAAGTGTCTTATTTCTAAAGCAATCAAAACGAGTATTAAATTGTTAAATACAGTCAAAACATAGGTTTCATGCATTCAAACCTTCTATAAGGATAGAGTGCTCTATAGAATTGTGGCAATAGTTTAGCTTTGGATGGCGTGTCCATCAGTAATACTATTGTCCGACAGCCGGGCTTTAATAGTCTAACCAAACCATTGTATGTTTCGCCCCGTAATTCGTGAATATTTAGTTTACAATCATTTCTAATTCAACGATAAAATTTATATAGTGATCAATATTAGCACAAATCAATTAATAGTTACTTAGGTTTAGAGACTCCGGGCATCTGTTTTCCCAGTCGTTTATATTTCTCTTTAATAGTCTCCTCTTCTATACGTCTATAATTCAAAACAAAACTAAAGTTAATCGCAAATTAATTGCACAAAAAAATAACTAAAAACTTACACTAAATAAGCCATAATATAGCCGATAAATACGATAAAACTGACGGACAGTACTATAGATATCGCGGGTAAGACCTCTTTCCTGGTGATGTTATCACTGATATTATCAGTAATAATGAGAATCTTTTTGACAATTTTGCCAAACAATCCGTGAACGGACTCATCAATGAGTGCCACTACTTTGGCATCGTTTGTAAACTCTTCAGTGTTTTGAACCAATTTTGTTAACAAATTATTTAAATTTCTTTTGGTTTCGTTCTCGTGTTGGCTGTCATTGACATCCCAACCATTGGGCAGCCATTCGTAGAACACTCTATCGGATTGCCGGCGCCATAAGACCACCACTTGTAGGGTAGGGCTGGTTAGGGGCGCATTGGAGCCACTGGTGAGCGCTTTGACAAACTCCGGCTGTTTCTCTTCAAACAAATACATGAACCGAAACCTCTCTTTCGGGTAATTATTTTCGCGCATATATTCGCGCATCGCTTCCCGTTTGGACTCGTGTTCCGGTATATTATTGGTCACCAAAACCACGCATAAGCGGCGCCGGGAGCGCACGCTCTCTGTCGGACACAACTGGTCGAACATCGCCTGCAAAACGGGTCCAAAGAATGATTAAAAATCATTACATTTTCATCCAAACGTTTGGTGAATACCTGAGACGCAAGTCGTGGCAAAAGTAGAAACTTATTGGACTCGAGGACGTCGCGCATGAGCTGCGGCTTCAACTCAAACACCGATAGAGTGGCCGTCGTTCTAGTGATGTCTTCGTTGAATATAAGCATCGAATTCATCTTCGGGTCCACTCTATAGCGGCTCAGTATCTGCCGCGAGCTGTCGTCAGCGGTCACGTGAGCGAAGGCTATGCGCTCTCTGAACTCAAAGGCCACCAATTGGTACCGGAGCCTAATATTGGACTCTTCGGTGATGAAGAGTGTGCGCACTCTGTTGTCGTGCCAGCCGTTCAGAAACTGGTAGTAGTTATTGTCGTTCACCTCTTGCACCAGATCTTTGGGCAGCGATTTGCGTATGAATTCCACAATATTGGGTAAATTGATCGTCGATTCCCTGTAGGCGCGGGTCTCGCCGTCCACGAGGGATATGATGTACGGCAGTGTCTGAACGGACAGCTTTCGGGCCAATTTGCTCTCGTGTTGCGAGTGAATGGTCGCGAAGCCCACCCCTAATGGCTCCAAATCGGTCACAATCTTCTGCCAATAGGTCTCCATCTGAAGGCACGCGAAGCACAGGTCGCCGTAAAATAAGATCAAATACGGCCGCGAATGGGAGGCCGGCGTTATGTTGTTCTCATAGGCCCTACAAATAGACAGTTA